CCACTTTAACTTTATTATTATTTATAGACTTTAATTATCATTTTATTATAAATTTTATTATTTTTATTTTTTGAATAATAATATAAATAAAAATATAATTTTGTCCCTAAATTTTTAAACTAACCATAAAAATTTTTAAAGAATCTATTATTTTGCAAGAGAGCAATAGGAAAGAGTTAAAAAGAAGAAAAATCATAATAAAGAGTGAGAAAATAGTCAAAATCACACACCCTTTCCACGAGATGTAATGTTTTTTTTGACTAAATTTTTATCTCAAATTCACTATCAATTTAATCACCTAATGATATTTTAATTGGTTTTTAAAAAAATGAAAGAAAAGTAAGGAAAATGTAAAGATAACATTCTTCTATTTTTTTTATTTCTTTTCATTTAATAAAGTTAAAAGAATTAAATATAAAAAATAAAGTAAAAATTTTTTCCTTTCTTTTAATGTTTTTTAGTGACTAAATAGATAAATTATCTTTCTTCTCCCCCCTTCAAACTAAACCTACCCTAAAAGTTGCATCAATTTTTCTAGGGACTATTTTAGTGGTAATACATGTCTTTTCAGTAAAAGTTGTTGAGATTAATTTATAATTTTGCATCAAGAAGAGGAGTAGTTAGTTGACTAAGATCTAGAAATCCTATGTTTGAATGTCTGTTGTTTTCCATATGCTTCACATGATAGCAACCATAGTTGATGCCTGACTCCAGAAATTTCTATAATTAACTTCTATTAATCCAATGTAAGTTGCAGGTTCAAGAATAAGTAGAAATTTAGATTAGTTGCAGACAAATTAAGAAAATATCAATTCTAGCCCACTTTACCTTCCAGTTACCCCAACAGAAATAAAAATATATGAAAGGTTTTAGATTCATGTTAATAGAAATAAAAAATTTTAGGTTAGGATAAGGGTGATAATTTTTTCAATTCTTATAAGACGAATAAAAATTTAAGACGACAATGAGATGAATGGTATTTTTTTCTTATAAAATTTCATAAAAAAGTGTTTATTGAATAAAAAATAATTATTAAATCTAACATAATTTAAATATTCAATTCATAATCATAAACCATACATTACCCTTTCTAAACTTTAGCCAATACTATACTCTAATTACTTTAAATCAATCTCAACTCAATATTCTTGTCCCCATTTTCACCTCTCGTTTAAAGTCATGCAAGATGAGTTACGGTAAAAGATGCGAGGAATAGTTTATCATTGGATACAACTTAAAATTATATCAGTTTTTTTTTTTTACTCTTTTAATCCCATTAATGAAAGGTAAAATAAGCATAATGGGCGATTTGACACTTTTGTTTTTGGACTCCATGCATTTTAAAAATATCTTATTTGAACAGGATTTTTTTTTTTTTTTTGGTTTCCAACCCGGTATTCGGAACTTCGCTCCGACTACTCCAGACTCAACCAGTTGTGGCGCTTCAAAATGATGGGTGGGTCTTCTAACGAAAGCTACTGCATACACAAGATTTCAAAATCGAGATTTTATTTAAATTGAAACAAAACTCCTTGTCACTTGATCCAATCCCTCGTTAGTATTTGAAGAGAATTGTGAAGTGTATTTCAATACATATATAATAAAAAAAGATACTATAAAAAAAAAGTCAAATATTTTGTCGGAAATAACTAAATAAATATTTAAGTGAATAAAAAAATTCAATATATATTTATTATTTTTTATTATTTACTTATATAAAAATTAATAAAATAAAATTTACTTTTAATACTAATATAATATTAAAATTTTAAATTAATAATTGATAAAATTTAAGTTAATCTTTTTTTTACTTGTATAACAAAAAATAATTATCTTCAATTCTCTAACTTATTATAATCATATATCATATATTTGAATTTAAAATTTTTTATTTTTATTAAAAATATTATTACTAAAATTCAATTTTTTTAATTTAAATTAATAATAAAAATGTAAAATAAATATATTTTTAATTTATATTATATATATTTTAAGAAATTAAGAAAAGAAAAGAAAAGAGCTTCTAATAAGGGGTATTCACGAGGTGTTGCAAACTGCAATCATTATTGTCCAATGTATCTGCAAAACATCAATTCAAGTAACTGAGTACAAATACGTGTTGAGCATTTAGAAAAGGAAAAAGGAAGAAGGCCGACGTTCAATAGTCTTACTTTGACTAGATGTGATGCACCAAGGCACAAAAATGTGCCACATAGCAGTGATGAAAAAACAGGGGCCTCGAAATAGCCATTTCCCTTTTTTTTTTTTAAAAAAAAAAACCATATTAATAGTATTAATATTACCATTAAAAAATTTAAAAAACATTAAATCAAGAACTCAACTGAAAGAATTAAGATGAACGATCGCTCGGTTGTAGTGGTATTAGACTTGGATTAGAACTGTTTATTTTTAGTAAGTTGTACGTTTAAATTTCACAAAAATTTTTATTTTTTTCAATTAATTTTAAAAATAATTATAAATTATTTCAAAAACAAAAATTAAAAAAATTAAGATATCCTCACTTAATTTTTAATAAAAAACGTGACCACCACGATCACGTGAGTGAAAGTTCCTCTCATATTTATATAGAATATATGTAGCTCTAAAACTTGAGGATATGCCTGGATTTATGCCGCTTTCTCTTTCATCATATTTATTCTCACATCTTAAACTAAACTCTTTAACAAGAAGATGAAAAAAGAATCCACTTAGGCTGCTGAAGTAAGGAGTATCTCGTCGGCTGGCGTAATCCACCACGTTAGAGCTTACTTAGAATCAATTAAAATGTTGTTCACCTAATGCTTCCCGGTTTTACTATTCTAATAGTGGTTGGTGTTTATTGTCGTTGTCACGTAGATAATTGTTAATGTTATATAATTTTTTGTTTTTACTACTTTGTTAAGTTACAATTTTATCCACTCTCATTGAACCTTCTATAGCATCCATAGACATGATATCTAAATTTTCTATGTATAAAATTGTAATTTGATAAAAAAAAATTTTTTTGTTCCGTGTCACAACCCTTTTTATGGTATAAAGTCTTGTTTTCTAGGATTTAAAAATGAAAGTTTGATCTTCACTAATAATACTCCCTCCTTTCCATATTCCAAAATAATAATAATTTTTTTACTAAAATTTATCCTAAATTAATTATCACTTTTTTATATTTTTAGAGAATTTTTTTTTAAAAATTTTAACCCTATCATTATTTATTTTAATTATTTATCTTATATAAAAAAGAGTATCTTTATTTTGTAAAGACATAAATTGTTCTTAAATTCTTAATATAGAAAACAAAGTGTAAAATCTGACTATTAGTATCATCATAAACGAAAAAACATCATTTGGGACGAGCTATGAAATATGCAAATTTCAGATTTTCCAAGAAACTGAACACCAAGATAACAACAATAAGCCAATTTTATTTAACATTATACCCTGTTAACAAAAAGAATTATACAGAATTCCTAGTGTTACTGTTACATTACTCCAAACCTGTATAATTTAGGTTTTTTATTTTTTTTTATTTTTTTATTTTTTTTTGTGTGCTAAATTTTAGCTCAGTTGCTCACAAATTCAATTCAAGATCCCTCGTACTGGTCTCGCAGCAGCTCATACTTTTTAAGCTCTGCCATAGAAAGAGAGGGTGATAATTCTCCTAAGACCTGGAAAATGGAGGGATGATTTTTCATTAGCTCTTTTGATCATTCAAAATCCAATACCTTCACAAGCCTAATTGTCCTTGAACATCATACCTTTACAAAATCATCTTGCTCGACAACAACGGAATCAGCTTGATATGTGGAAGAAGAATCAGAATCAGAATCTGAATTCAAAGCCTGCAAAAAAGGGAGAAGAGAAATGAAAGCAATCTAAGCTATGAACCATTACACAAGCTGATACTTTATTGAATTTTATTTAGGCAAGAAGTGTTGATTTGACGACTCACCTTACGCTTTGCTGCATGAAACCAAGCATCAGCACATAAGGCATACATATCAGCACCAGTGAAGTTGGGAGGGCATCTTTTTGCTATTGAATAAAGTGATACATCTTCATGCAATTTAAACTTTCTTGTTTGTGCTTTAAGGACCCTGGACCGCAAGGGAAGTGGTGATGCATGACAATAAGAATCAATTTGATATTACATACAACATTTGGGAACAAAATGAAACTAAACAAACCTCTCCCTGTAAGATGCATCAGAGTTAACTCCAACATATAGCAGTTTGTCAAACCGACCAGGCCTTAGAAGTGCTGTGTCAATAAGATCTGGTCTATTGCTTGCTCCGATAATGAATAGGTCCTAAGAAAACAAAAAGTGAAGTGATTCAGTGATTTTTGGATAATAGTTAAAAGGGGAAAGAGTATTTTCTGTGAAGAAGTACAAGAAACCTGTGTGGAATCATTGAGGCCATCAATCTCTGCCAGCATCTGGCAACAAGTGAATTTTTATGATTAAGCAATTGTGGGTGAAGTAAAAGAAAACTGATAGATAGATGACACAGAAAAAATATCCTTACCTGAGAAACCACCCTATCCATTACACCCCCAGAATCTCCTGCAGCACCCCTAGCTGGTGCAAGAGAATCAAGTTCATCAAAGAAAATGACACATGGCCGTGCAGATCTGGCCTGCAAGATGAGCAAGATTATGATGTCAGGGTGGCAAAAACATATCCTTTAAAAGCCACCATCATTCAACTTATGCAAGAAAAAAAAATCATGCATTCTCAAGGAGTATTCACCATAAGAGGAAGAATATTCTTACCTTCTGGAAAATGTCTCGAACATTTTTCTCAGACTCTCCTATATACATGTTAATGAGTTCAGGCCCTTTTACACTAAGAAAATTTAAGGAACACTCTGTTGCGACTGCTTTTGCCAACAAAGTCTGATACATATTGTAAGAATAAGAAGGAAAAAGTTATGGAGCATATCTCAAAACAAAACAATGGCAGACTTAGAAATCATCATGATGGTTTGACAAATCCATCAAAATATACCTTTCCAGTTCCAGGAGGACCATACAGAAGTACACCCGAACGCTTGCGCAACCCAGATGAAAACAAATCCTTATGCAGGAGAGGCAGCTGCAGATATGAAAAATGAGAATGCAAAATGAAATTCAGAATGAGTAGTAATAGATATAAGTCAGGAACTGTATGGGATGAAATCCATATTGCAAACTACATATAAGTTATATGTATATGTTGGATATCCTTATGGCAGAAGAAGGTCAATGAAGGGTTCAACCACAGATTATCTTGAGGACTAATGATATTGAAAATGCCTACCTGGACAGTATCCAAAATTGCTTTCTTTACATCCTCTAGCCCACCAACATCTTCCCATTTCACATTAGGAACCTGAAGCAAACCAATCCAAAATCAAACTAACGTCCTATCCAAAAAGCTACTATTAAGAAAAGCCCTTTTAAAGTTCTGAAATGTGTACAAGAACTAAAATACCTACTTAACAAGTGATCAGATAAACATAATGCAGTAAAAAGGCTTCTGCTGAAGTTACCTTTGGAGCACCTAGTGCTGATGCATTCCTCCTTTTTGATTGCTCTAATGCTTTAACCAAGTCTTCTCTCCCCATAATCTGAGATGCAGCTTTACACGGATCATTACTCTGCATTGCTTTGACTCTAAGAGAACCATTGGACTCCATGGATTCAGCTTTGTCAACTTGAAAATCATTCCGAGGGATTAAGTTCACAGCAGCATCAGCAATTAAAGCTTGCAAATCTCTAGGAGTGAAGCCAGATGTCTGTGCAACCATGTCCTTTAAAACATCCTCTGAGCTAGCCTGCAAGAAGCAACCATCTGATCTGTCAAAGCCAATGGGTATATACAAAGACACAAAATAGACAAGTGACGTAAATACCTTCTACTAGACCACCTACTAAGCAACATTTGCTTCTTGAATACATGCAAATTTACTCTTGATAAATAGGTTTAAAAAGTCATAACTTGGTTGGCACTTGTCATTTACATGTCCTGATTTGATAGTTTTAAAAGATGACAACAATGTAGTGAACATTTAGCACACATTCTTAACTTTTAAGTAATTTCATAATCAATTCAGAATGCTCGGCCTGCCAGCCATGGTTTACATATGTAATGGGGTAGGAAAAAGATGTTAACTTGAAGATGAATTTCAGATCCACAACTTTATAAAGCCAAAAAATTATCAAAGAGGAGAAAACACATATTCTATTCACATACATCAAAGAGGACTTCAGAAACACCTTTCAGAGACTGGGACAGCATTTCAGCTCTTTGTTCTTCGGTCAAGGGACCCATGCTTACTTCATGGCTGAAGCAACGCCTAACAGACGGTGGTAGACCTTCAGAACTGTCAGCAGCTGCAACTAACAGCACCTGGTGCCTGCCTATGTTCCCAGCATCCTTCACATACTGTAACAGCACATTATGAGAGTAAACAACCTTGAAAAGTTTTAAGCACTGTGCTCTTGTTCTAGAAAATAAACAAAAAGTAAAGTTCTGAAGACCATTTTTCCGTTGCTTCACTTGAATTCCAAACAAATCTTCTAGCCCAAAGATAGAAAATACAGGGGTATTCAAAAAGCATGTGGACCATCAGTCAATGGAAGACTTTAGTGAAAGACCAGTACCACAAATGCTCTTTTTAGGCTTAAAAAGTGGGGAAGGAGGAAAAGCGGAAATTATATATATAGCAAAAGCCTTCGCATGGTGAGGCATCTAGATTCTTGAGGTAGTTCCATGGGACTGAGATTGCTATCTAGCCCACTTCTAATTAGCTTTCATGGCTTCTAACGTCATTTCATTATTTAGATTATGATGAAGAAAACCAATGTCTTATTGCTAGCAAATGATTATTAATCATTAGAAACAAAATAAATTGAACTAAATGGAAGCAGTGAAGTGCACACACAAAAGCTTTTACGTATAAAAAAGAAGAATGACATCATGAAGTAGTCGCATCTTACAAAGTCACCATCAGGTTTTTCTTCAGTAAAATTGTCTTCATCCTCAGAAATTGGCTTAGTAAACTCTCTGATGACTGCTGCGATTTCATAGAAGAGGCCAACTTGATCACTCGAAGCACCCTCGTGAGACTCCAAATTTCGGAAAACATCAAAATGGCGAAGGAGAAGTATAGATGGTGAGTATCTGTCAGAAAATCAATTAGAGCGATAATGACTATGAACACCAACATCAAGTACAATTATATTCACATTGTTACGGTCCAATCTCAAAAATCATACAATCACCACATTTAATATTAGTGAAATTGTTATATTAACCAGTTCAAATTTAGAACAGCTATAATACCAGAACTGTTTTTTTTAACAAAGACAAATTCAAAACATTTCTGTATATGCAATGTTATCTGATGGAAACTAATCAGGCATAAGACATTAAACTTTCTAAAGATTGTAATAACTTGTATCCCATTTTCTTATTATAAACACCTGTGCAGCTTAAAAACAAGGGGCAACAGGGCATGATTTGCAAGTCATAGTATAATTGTGCAGATGTTACCAACATGTTAACTGCTTCACCTTTGGGCCATGTTGAATGCTTCAGCCAGTGCAGCAGAGGTCTTTTTTTCAGAAGATGCCATTAGATTATGACAACTAAATTCTACCAAATGCAGGCCCAGGCGCTGGCAAATGTATTTAACAACTGTCCTCTTTCCACACCCTGCAAACAATACTGGGTCAGCAACTCCCAGATATGGCTAAATCGTATATAAACACGAATTGACATTAAAAATACAATTCATTAATCTCTTCTCAATCAGCATTGGTTTTCACTATTGTAATTCCTGGTAAAACAGTGTGCACAAGACATTAATATTAGCAATAACTTGGTTGGTTAAGTAAAGCTTTCACACCACCAGAATACCCACTAAGTGCGTGGTCAATCAAAGTTAAATTATTTTTATCAGAAAGGTTCACCAATCAATGAAACTAATGCAATATGGATGCCAACAAAAATCAAGTAGCATTTAAACTCACCTGCCAAACCGTACAGTAAAACAGCAACTCTGAATTTTGAAGAAAGTGCTGATGGACATATTGGTGGTGTTAGTATGGAGGCTAAAATCTTCACTGTGTCCCCTTGTAGAGGTGAAAAACCTTTTGTTCCAGAAAGCAACAGATCAGGGGGAACAGCAGATGGAACACTTCCTCCTAGAACAAGGGCAGTTTGAGCATTATGTACTCGAAGAACTACATCATCTGATGGTTCTATAGCCACAACCTGTAGAAATTAACTACCATCTGATGAGAGCCTGAAATGTTATTACATTCCTTGTACATATGTTTCCACAAGTAATAATATACACAAACCTCACCTTGAAATAGATGGAATCATCACATTTATTTTCCAATCCCCGGTTGCAAGGAATGCAAAGGATGGATTTGCAGTTCCAATTTATGGAAATGCTGAAAACATCACCTCTTGCCAGATACCTATCAACTTGAAAGTACTTGTGTAATGCCAAATCAATCATTGCTTGACGATCTTCAACTTCAATGGATGAAGTTCCTCTTAAAGATTCAAGGGTACCACATTCTGGTATCTTAACAAAAGATACCCTCAAGTGTGAGGCATATCTTGGCAGTCGACACAAAGGTTCCAACACTAAACCAATTATAGAAGAGTCATTGTTTTCCCAACAAGTAGTCTCATCCAATTTAGCTTCAAAGATGGATGATAAACTCTCTTTGCCTCGATGGACCAGGGATTTCAAGCATGATACATGCAAGTTAAGGTTAAATGCCAAAAGAGGAGATAGAAATGCAACTTTATGATCTAGCAATAGGCAGCCATTTTGAGGAAAACTGTATGAAGGAAATACAAGCATTACATTTGGAGAGCAGGAAATGGAGTCTGTAGTTTGAGATAAATCTACTAGGCTACTGGGGGGATCTAAAACAACAACCTGCGCAACTCTCTTCAAGTTTGTCTCACTGTTTCTGATAATCACCTACCATTTTAAAAAACCATACAAAAAAATTAATAAAAAGGGTTCCAAATAGCCGTAATAATAATAATAATAATAATAAT